TCGCCGGGGGCCTCCTGCGCAGGGACGCAAGCGAACGGACTCCGCACAGGCTTGTGGGCCACCTGGACCGGAGAGCCTTCCCGGAGCGGCCGCCCACACGGGGCATCGAGAGGACCTGCCGAGCCTGCGGCAGTTGCATCGAGGACCTACGCCCTGCCCTTGGGAAGGCAGCCCGGGACCCCAAGGTCCTCCAGGAGCACGGGGCTGCCTGTGGGCTGGAGGGAGTGTTGGCAGAGCCCCTTAGCTCTTGGGGCTTGAGCGCCCCCTTCAGGCTGCTCCCCGCCGAGCAAGGGCCCCGCACCGAACGGATCCGGGAGACACATATGGGAGACTCTATGCGCCCGGAGGAGGTGGACTCCGCCCTGGACAGCACGGACACCTCCGACAGCTGCAGGACCGACAGCGAAGAGGCCGGGACCTCTCAGCCCCCCAGAGCCCGCGGCCCCCGACTGCGGGGCTCCAGGCCTCGTGGAGGCCACAGGTGGTGCCGGAAGGCTGAAAGGGAGCCACCTGAGAGCCCTCCGGCCTCGCACGACCTGCCTGGGGTTGATCTCCTGGAGGTTTCAGATGCAGTGAAAGAAGGCAGAGGACACACACCTGAGGGGACTCTGTTCCCCAGAGAAAACCCTTACTCCAAGCCTCCTGGGCAGGAACCTGAGGGGGCCCCCCTGGGGCCCCAGGAGGAGTTGCGACCAGGAAACCACTGGGCTCCCTCTGTGGATTCCTCGGCTCTGTGCCGGAAGGCCTGTGCCCCGGCCTCCTCCGTGAAGCTGGCACCCTTGGGGCCAGGCAGACAAGACCAGGTTATAGAAAGCCACCAATCTCTGGAAACCATCCCCCTGCAACAGAGCCATGCAGAGCCCTCTGCCCCACACCAGGCCCAGCAGCCAACGGCTTCCCTTTCCTCGGAAGGCTGGGTGCCAGCTCCTCCTCCTTCCAGGAAAACCACTTCACCTGGGCCTCACAGGAAGGCACCCCGCAGGCCCGGTGACCGGGGAGAATCTGCTGGCACCCCCCGGCCTCCTTCAGGAAGTGTAGTTCCCAGGACCTGTGAGCTCAGCCCCCCACAGACACAGCCCCGCAGCCACCACGGCGGGCACCCACTGCTGGGCCTCCCCACCAACAGCTGCAACAACAGTGTGCCTGGGTCCTCGGGGGACGCCGTCCTCCAGGGCAGGGTGGAGAAGGGCACCAGCAGCCAGGAGCCCGAGGCACCCCTGGAGAACTGCAGAGGTGGTAAGGTGGCCCCAGTCTGGGGAGGTCCTAGAGCTGAGGCCAAGTCTGTGGTCTCACACATCCTTCTCTTACTGCTCGTCTTCGTAGGTTACAAGGCCACACACCGTTCCTAGCAGCCCCGTGGAGCCCCCTGATCAACGGCAGGTGTCAGGGAAGCTAGCAGGGTCTGTGGGCTGGGTGCAGGGTTCAACGTCAGCCTGGAGGCGGGTTAACAACTCCCCTGAGGAGGCAGAGCATGGGAAAGTGGTGCTGAAGCCTCTGACCTCTGGGAATCCTGAAGGGTGTATAGAAGGTCCAAGCTAAGTGGCTGCTGGTGGCCTGGGCTGCAAGGAATTTTACCATCAGCAGAGCTAGGAGAGGCAGCAGCTCTAGGATTTACCATTTGCTTAGAGTAGTAAGTGCTAAAATGCCTCTTCAATGTCTTCATTTCATTCATTCAGTATTGTTTGAGCACCTGTTACATGCCAGGCACTGTTCTAGACACTGAGGGGAATAAATGCAATAAGTGAATTAATTCAGCAGCAGTCCTGCCCTTGAGACCTTCCGTGGCCAGGCACAGACATGCTGTCCAGAGCTGCAGCCGCCAACTGGTGGTTCATGAAGGCTGAAAGGTTGGCGACCGCTGGTTTAAGGAAACCTTTAGAGCAGCGATCGCCAACCGGTGGTCCGCAGACCACTGGTGGTCCGTGGGGTCTGAAAGGTTGGCAACCGCTGGTCCAGAGGACACAGTGACCAGCAGGCAAAGCTCTTACAAGGAATGCTGGGGTTGCTCTCTGGCACCTGAGCACCCCCACACCCCCGGCCCTGCTGGGCAGACTGGTGTGTTTCAGCAGGCAAAGGATGTAGGATATCACCTCTGCCTTTGGAAGGGGTCCACATAATGTGGGCAAATCCTGGGCATCAACAGCCTTAGCTCTGATCCCTGATGTTGTGAGCTAAGGTGAGCACCTCAGCCACTTACTTTTAGGCAGGAGACACACGCCCACCCCACACAGCCTGCTTTAATGTGCCCACAGCTCTGGCAGCCCTGCGGCTGGGCTGACTCAGGAGGGATCGAGGGCTTGGACACAGTGGAGGAGGAGAGGACAGACAGACGACAGGCCATATTGACCTTACTGAGGATGTGGATGCCAAGACACTCCCCACTCTGTGTGCTGGCCACCCCTCCCCTGCACACAGACATACACTTTCCCTCTCCCTCCCTTGCTCCCATGAACCTGGAGGAAGCAGGCCCCACCTTGAACTAAGGTGTGGTTTCCTTCCCTGGTGGGCTCTAGGCTGGCTGCCCTTAACCACTTCCTGTGGGTCTTCTATTCTGAGAGCTGCTGACCTTTTTGGGCAGCCGACCTTCACCTCCTTGGGGCCTGGAGCAGAGGCCCAGGTGAGGCTCCTCTTCTCATTAGCCAGGAGGTCCTGGGCATGTCACTGAACCCCTTTACACTCCAGGCTCCTCCACTATAATCGGAGGGTAATAATAGAACCTGTCTCCTAGGAACCCATGAAATAATCTGTGGGGAGGGTTTAACTCATTGCCCAGCACATTCCAGATGCCTCAGGAATACAAAATATTCCCCTGCTCTCAACTATGTCTCTTGATATAGGAGGGGCATGACTTAGCACAAGCAGTCCCTTCATTTAACAGGCATTAATTAATCAGCTACTGTGCACCAGTATTGTGCTGGGGGAATGGGGTAACAGCAGTAAATAAGGCCCTGTCCCTGTTTTGTGGGTCTCACCACTGCCTCTCTCCAGCTTTCTCCGGCTCTCCTGCCTCTGGGTTGGGACTGTCCCCTCCCCTGTGGGATGGGTCAGTGACATGGGAGGGATGCTGTGGTTGTTGCAGGAGGTATCCATGACTTTCTCACCTCCGCAGGTGTTGGCACCGTCAGCTCCATGGGTGTCACCTTCTCCCTGGCCTTAGAGGAGCCAGAGTCCAGCCAGGAACCAGAGGAAGGCCTGCAGAGGACAGAGTCAAGTTCTGAAGGGCTTGTGTCATCCCAGTGAGTGACAGGAGCAAGAGTGAGCCCTGCCCGTAGGAGGTGGGGGGTGGGAGGTGCTAAGTGAAGGAAGAGCCCCCCTGGAGTGGTAGCATGACTGACCTCACTGCTCCCAAGTCCTTGGAGGGTTCCCAGACTTACATCTAACCATGGCACCCCAATGCTTCTCTCCCAAACATTTCCAACCTAATGTGCTTGATTATGTATTCACCAAACATTCATTGAATGGCCTCAAGCTCCAGGTGCTGTGCTAGGCACAGCTGGCCAGCCAGTCTCAGCCCTCAAGGTGCCCCAGGTTGGGACAGCCTGTCTGAAAGGACTTGTTCCTCACTCTGGGCTTGGAGACAACCAGATGCTGAGGAAAGAGCTCAGCATTCACATTGCCATTCTCTCTTTAGTGTGCTGTCTGAGTCCTTATTCTGGGGAGCCATCCTCTAGCCAGGGCCACCTCTTCTCTGCTATGCATCATTCATGGTGACATATGACCCAAGGCTTCACATGCCACTGAAAGCCAAGTCTCCATCTCCAGCCCTGTGTGCTCCCAAATGCCACACCTGTGCATCCAGTTTCCCCTGACATGTCCACCAGGGTGTCTGAGAGCCTCGCTGAATTGTTGATCGTTCCGACCAAAACTGCTTCCCCCAGGGCCTCTTCCCCGTGAACACAGAACCACTCCACAGTGCTCACACCCAGATCTGGGCATCCTCTTAGCTGCCCCATTTTCCTTCTTTCCGACTCCAACCCACTAGCCGGTCCTCTCCAGCCCCGGGCCCACCCCTGTTGCATTTCTCCTGGTCTAAGCTGCCTTACTTCTTTCTGTGCAACTCTAACAGCCCTGCTGCTCTCTGCCTTCCCTCTTGCCCCCTCTAGTTCCTTCTCCACACGATAGTCAAAGGTAGCTTTTGAAAACTTTAATTCAGTGATGTCATTTCTCTTACTTAAAACCCATCATGTTTTTCCTTTAGCTTGGAGTAGAATTCAAACCTCTTGCCTTCGTTTATGTGTTCAGTGTAATCTGCCCGTCTGACCTCACCTGCTTCTTGTCCCTTGCTCATGATGATATCCACGTCCTAATGGCCTGGCCCCGCTATGTTCTTGAATGCACCGAGCCCCTTCCTGCCCTCGAGCTTTGTTGCCAGCTTTTTTTCTCCCTGGAGCTCTCATTTCTGGGCTTGGTGGGACTGACTTCTTGCCATTCAACTTTCAGTTTAAAGGTCATCTCCTCAGAGAGGCCTTCCCTGGCCACCCTGTCTCTCTCTGCTTCACCCTACTCAGCAGTCGCTGATGGTGTCTCTCCTTTGTTTCCTAGTCTGCTGTTTATAAGCTCCCAAGAGTCAGGACCTTGTCTGTCTGCTTACCACTCTCACTTACCCAGGCCATTTGCCACATGTCCCAGTGCCTACAAGAGGCCTAGAAGAGGTTCTTTGGAAATAGTGAATGAGCAAATGAAGGAACGAATGATTGGGTAAACCCACTGTTGAGTGTGATGCCAAGGGTCCTGTCTGAGCTGCCCTTTCTAAAAGCTACCGTGCAGGATTCCACTCAGCTTTCTTTCTGCAGCCTGGCTGTCCTTCCTCCACAAGGCGTGGTGCTGGCTCATCTGGGGCCCACAGAACCCTAAGGAGAAGCCCACCCTCGCTTCCACAGCCCTCTCCCCCCAACCTCATGTCCACCCTTGCATTTCAGAGACCTACCAGGGGTCAGTGCAGGACCTGGCCCGCCCTCAGCTGCCCCTTCTGACAGGAACAAGAAAGCCAGCAGCAGCATCACCACCCTGGGGCTGAAAAAGTTCTTCTTGGCCTTGGGCCAGGGCACACGGCCCAAGTTGGGCAAGTCCCGCAGCTGCAGTGTGGAGCAGCTGCAGCCCCCTGCACCTGGTCCGGCTTCACACTCCAGCACCCCCAAAGTGAAGAGAGCCCCATCGTTACAATCCCTGCATCGGGTGAGTCCGAAGGGCCCAGACAGGGGCTGTGTGAGGCAGGTGGTGGTGTAGGCACCATTCGAACAAAAGGTGAAAGGAGAAATGAAGTGCTGAGGAGGCAAAGGTGGAGAAGAGGAGGCGCCTGCCTCCCCACAGTTGATCTCTGAGACTTGGGTCCCCCTTTCCAGTATGGACTCATCCTAGATGCCTTCCTCTTCCCCTCCTTCAACTCTCACTGCTGCTAAGACCTGGAGTCTACTGCCTGGTCATTCTAGAACCTTCTTCATGGCCACAGTGACCCTTAGTCTAGCACAAATCACTTCCTGGATACCTCCAGGACCTCCAGACTGGCATTCCTGTCTGTCTTTCTCCACTGGCTTCCAGAGTGGTCCTTCTGCTATGCAAATCTGGCTTGCCATGCCCTCACTTCATACAGGCCATTGGTCCCTTACCACTCTCAGGATAAAGCTCAGGTCACTTGACAATGCCAGAGGGTTTCTGTGATCTGACTGCTTTCATCTCCCATCACTCTCCTTCTAACACTCATCCCAGTTGTCCTTGACCTTGAAGTTCTGTCATGAAGGCCACACACTGTCTGACTTTCAGACTTCATGTTTCTTTTCTCCCGCCTTCTCTACCTGCTAATGTCTTCTCATCCAAGGATACTTCAGCCATTGCATCCTCCAGGAAGCCACTTCCTACCCTTCCTTGCTCTGTGTTTTTATCTCATTCTGGGCTACCCTCCTTGGTGGAACTTGCACATAGCATTTTAATTGATTTTTGTTTGTCTCCCCTCACTGGAGTGTGACTTCTTTGAGGGAACACCGTTGATCTTTATATTCCCAATATTCAGTACAATGGTGAATATAGTAGACATAATGCACAGTGAGTGAGTGAGTGGATGCAGGGCAGGCTGCTGAATTGTCCCTCCCTGTGTGCTGGAGGGTAAACCAACAGCAGCTCACTGAGTCAGCTATGTTTCTGAAAACCCTGTTCTGTTCCAGGTGTTTCCAGTATTATGTTTGTTCTTCTAGTCCAGCCGTGGGCAAACTACAGCCCGCGGGCTGGATCCGGCCCATTTGAAATGAATAAAACTAAAAAAAAAAAAAAGACCGTACCCTTTTATGTAATGATGTTTACTTTGAATTTATATTAGTTCACACAAACACTCCATCCATGCTTTTGTTCTGGCCCTCCGGTCCAGTTTAAGAACCCATTGTGGCCCTCGAGTCAAAAAGTTTGCCCACCCCTGTTCTAGTCTCTGCTCCCCTCCCTGGGCGGAAGGAAGCAGGTGATTGTGGTTTGCCGAACTGGAGCCTTTTATTTTCAGACTGAATGAAAATTGCATTTCAGTCTGGCTCCAGGAACACTACCTGGTACGTGGTTGGCATTCAGTAAGTATTTGCTGGATGAATGAATGGAAGGCAAAAACAGAAACAAAACAGCCTTATATAGGCTGGGAAGAGGATCCGAGAGTGACACCATGGTCCAGGAATTCACTTTCCCCATGAAGTTAGATCTGTCCCCTGTATATCTGAGCCAGGGCACCTGGTGTGTTGCCCTCAGAGCTCTGGCCTCTGTAAAGCCCTCTAGGGAAGTGACAACGATGTTAGTGTAGTAGAGGTGCTGTCAGCAATCTAAGCCGAATGGGAAGGGAGAGAGCAAGCTGGTGAGAAAGGGCGGACTGAGTAGTAGAAAGAAATGTACAAGAACTGGAAAAAGAGGATAAAAGAAGAACCCTTCCTCACCCAGAACTGTTCATGACATAGCTCAGGGCAAGTGACTTCCTGTTAGACTGTTGTGCCGCCAGGTGTGGGGTGACAGGGTGGGTGGATGCTGCAGCAGCTTGGTTTCCGTTTTGCCCTCCTGAGTGGGCAGTGGCCCTGTTCTCTCACCCGCCCCCTCCTGATGCTCCCACATCCTCCACTGGCTGTGGCTCTTTCCCTTTACACCTGCATCTGGAAGGCTCTCCTCAGGAAACTCCTGCTTGTCCTTCAGGTCTGAGTTAACATGACTTCTCCCAGGAAGCCTCGTTGAACTCTGATATAAATCAGCTCCAACCCCCCACCCCTTCAATTTCTTGATGATATGCCTTATTTCTCTAGAGCATGGATTCCAAATGTAATACATGTCTGTAACATTTGTTTTAAAGTCTGCTCCTCCCTACCATTCCTACGCCTCACCTTCCGAATGGGCTCCTCACTGGGTCGATTTCTAGAACACAGATCAGATTTTGTAACTCTTCAGATGAGCATCACTCAGGGGCTCTCTAGCAGGCCATACGAGGTCCTTCCAGGGCTGGCCCCTTGCTCCAGCCCACCTCCCATCACCTCTGCAGCCTCGCCACCAGACCATGAGTATGACCCAGAACCGACCATGTTTTCCCTCGTCCCTCCATGTCTTCGTACCTGCTGTTTCTTCTGCCTGGAGCGCGCTACCCCTGTATTCACCTCACGAGTTCCTGCCTCAAGCCTCACTCAGGGATCAGCTCCTCTAAGTGTCCCCAGGCCTCCTAAGCCAAACGAAGTCTCTTTCTGCTCCCCTGCACATCGTCTGCACTTTCAACCGAGCACTTCCTACTGCATTTAGGGCCTTTAACTTACCTGTGCCCACCCCACACCCACCACTGGGGGAAGTCCTCAAGGGACTTTTGTCTTTCCCATCTTTTTATTCATGATGGTTTAAGGTGCACACTTAGATTAAAAATTTTGAATGTAACTGATCATAAAAGGGATATACTAAAGAATCGCAAAAACACTATTTAACATTTTAACTCTAAAGTTGTGTTTGTTATTCTATAATTAATTTGATTTTACTTTTTTTTTCTTAACAAGAAAATGAGATTTTCTTAATAAGTGGTGTGGTAATTAGTGTCTTAGTACTAAATTGTTACTTCAGCCAAGAAAACCCAAAACCTGGAAGCTTCAGATCATATCACCTGTGTAGACCCATCTACTTGAGTAAATTATGGTGCAGCCGCTTGAAGTAGTGACAGAAACTCCTCCTGTTACTTTGAAAGAGGCCCTCAGGTTCATGGTTGGGGTCAAGTCTCTGTCATCCCCTCGCCAGGCGGCTTTTCTCACCTGCAATATTGGACCTTTACCTCTAGGTGTCACCCTCTCACCAACATCGGAAAGCTGCCTCCTTTCAGAACCTCTATTCTCTGCTGAGTGGCAAGGTGGACCGGTCCAGCCTGTACCTGGTAGGGGAGCCAGGGGACCACAGTGAACCTGGCAGGTAAGAGTGGGCGAGTGGGCAAGTGGACAAGTGGTCTGGAGGACAAACTAAGAATGGACAATGGAACAATAAGCTTAACTTCTTGCCTCAGCCGCATGGCCCTGAATGGGATCCCATTAAGAGAAAGGGAGGCCAGTTCTCTGAGGAGTCTTGGAACCTGCACCTCATGTGCAGTTGAGCTTTGAGAAGGTGTGGGGTGCTGAAAGGGGTGGAGTTGGGAGGTTTGGTTCCTCCATCTCTCTGCTGTCTGATGACATCTTGAAATCAGAATGTCCAGAGACCTTCCTTAGCTCAGCTAAAGATCAAATTAAAGATCCAGACACAGAGACCTCAAAAGAGGCCCTTGACCTGTGACCCTGCCTGGAGAAGGCCCTTGACCTGTGACCCTCTAGGTTAGCTGCTCTTACCTAGAGTTCCATGGAGGGACTTCAGGGTGTCCGTTAACTCCTGGAAATTTTATATAAAATTACAGCTTTCATCAGGTTCTCAGAGAAGTCTCTGCTCCTGAAAAGGTTAAAAACTTTGCTCATGGGCTGGGGCTTCTGGTGCAAGAGCAGGCTGGGGAGCTTCAGACGGGGGTGCCAGTCTCGGCCCCAGCAGGGCTCTTCATGCTGGAGCCCCAGCCGTCAGTGGAGAGGCAAGTCTTCTTTAAGCCAAGGGGCTGGAGCCCAGTGCCAGCCCTCGTTGCCCTCACTCTGTCTCCGGTCTCCATGCAGGTTAGCCAAGGCCCCGCCCCGGCGTGCGCTCAGCGTGGAGGATGTGGGTGCCCCCAGCCTGGCCCGCACAGTGGGCCACGTGGTGGAGGTGTTCCCAGACGGCACCAGCCAGCTGCAGCTGCAACGCTCCCCAGAGGGCACTTTTGGCTTCTGTGTAGCCTCCGGGAATGGGCGCAGGGACTCAGGTATGCTCCCTCCGCTTTCTGGGCCCCACAGCCCTGGGACCTTAGCAAACCACACTGGTGATCAGAGTTTTTTTCTGGTCTTTGGCTGAGCAGTGGAGCTCTGGGCTCAGAGAACCTCTTATCAAAAGGACTAGAGTTCTCCCCACAGGGGCTCTTTCTGAAGAGTCAAGGTATGGGGCTGCTGGGGGCGGAGGGAAGTAGCTATTGGCAGGCCTGACCCCAGTGTCCCTCTGCTGTCTGATGACATTCTTAAAATCAGAATCTTGAAGGCCAACTATTCACTGGGGAGCCAGAGGGAGACTGTTTGTGCTTGCCAGTTCTCAGAGGCAGTCCTTTGATGTGGCCGATGTGTTTAAATGGTTCCCTCCTCCAGCTGCTGAGTGTGTCTGGGCACGCGGAATGTGCCTGCCTGTCTGTGCATCCAGGCCCCTCCCTCAGAGCTGGCTCCCGAGGGTTAGGTTCTCAGGCATCCTGGCTCCCAGACCCTGGCGGAGTCAGAAGGAGCATTCGGTGGCGTACGGAGAAAAGTGCCTGGCGCTTTTCTTCACTTTCCTCCTCAGAAAGAGAATGTATTTGGGGAGCAGAATTCCAGATGGGGACTGGCATCATCTGTCAGTGTGAGATCATACACAACCAAGCATGTACTCGGCCCCCCATACTCCCCAAAAGTCCTTTTAGGATCCTCTGCAGGCAGTGGGATCCCCTCCCCCATCACCTGTCATGGAGTTCTGATGGGCAGGGGTCTGTAATCACCAAGGGCTCCTCGGCTCTGCCCTGGCCCACTCTCCCAGGCTCCCTCACCTGGTTGGTGAGAGCTCTTCCCTGTCCTGCCCAGGTGGTGTCCTGCCTCTACTGCTGCAGCTAGCCGTGGGATGTCACAGAGATCCCCATGCATGCGGAACAGGGCCGCCTGGCCACACGCCGTCCTCCCGCAGCCAAGAGTCCTTTTTCCTGGGCCTCAGCGGCTCTGTGGGCTGGGGTTGGTTTGCAATCCTTCCTAAAGAGTCAAGATGCTGGTGCTAACTTGCTGGCTACCACATCCGGTTCTATACAAGCATGAGAGAATAGCAGGCTTTGTCTTCTGCTTCTAATGCAACATAAGGAGCATACATCCTTAGCAAAGGCCTTGTCCAGCAGCCAATAAATGCCTACAAAGCAGTCTCTCTGTCATATTTTTGTCATGACTTTCAGTTGTAAAACCTACCCCAGAGTCTCCCCCAAATGGCTGGCGTGACATCAGTGTCTGGTCTGACTCTGGCTGCATTCTTTTGGGTTTTCTCAACACTCCCCACCTCACATCCTGCTGTATAGCAGCCATTTCTACAGGCCCCACCCCTCCCCATTTTACCTGCCTTTTTCCAACATGCAGACAGGCCAGCAAGCAGTTCAAACACCCAGATGGCAGAGGTAGAAGACAGGGCCTGTGAGAGAGAAGCCTGTGCGATCAAGATGACAGATGTACCTTGCTGGGGGGAGACAGCCTCTCAGGAAAGGCTAGGGGTGACTGAGAAGCACCGAAAGGGGCTCCCCAACTCAGCCCAGGGACAGGGAACTTGACAAAAGATCGGATTTGCTAAACCCAGAGCTACAAATCCTCAGGTGCCTCAGAGGAGATTTCAATGTACATTCAAACCCCAATTCCACAGGGTGGGCTCTGGAAAGCTTGACTGTTGGGGCCAGAGTTGGGCTGCATGGATCAGAGAGATGAGTTTCCACTGGTCCGAGATGTGTTAAATGGCTTTAGGTCAGAGACTGAGAAACAGGGCAAGTTGCCCTTTCGTGTCCTTTCTAAGGAAGCTGGTTCCAGGAAGAGGGGGTGGGGAGTGATGCACAGGCAGCTGTTCAGTGTAGAGGGAGCCAGCTGAGCCTGGGCTGGCAGCAGGGAGGGCGCTGAGGCCTCACAAAGTCCCCCCCAACACCCCCCGCCCCCTATGAATTCTGCCGGTGTCAATCATCCCCTGCGGCCCCCCAGTGACCTGGGCTGGTGCCCTCAGACACCTGTGTTCACCAGATTTCCCTGGAAGAGCCTGCTCCTCCTCTAACCTCTTAGGTGGAAGCAGCTGAAGGGGTTTGAAAGGTTTTCAGCAGAAGTTTTGGTGAGAGGGGAACCCTCTCCTGTGTGGCCAGGAGAGGCGAGTGTCACCCAGCCTATCCAGCCCTGAGGCCCCACAGAGCCTGTCCCACCAACGTGGGTTCCCCGAGTCAGACCCAGGGGAGGAGTGGGTTCTCCCGGGGCTCCCGATGCACTTTGGAGACCTCGGATGGTCACACTGGCCAGATAGATCCAGAGACAAATGGAAGCGGGGGGGGGGGGGGGGAAGAAGGGAAAAGGGAGCCACCATGTCTTTAAATATGGGGGTAGGATTTTTATGTTTCTGGGCCTTTGTCCAGAGGCCTCCGAGTTCGAAGTGAGGACCATACCCGAGGAAGACTGGGGCCAGGGCTAGCCCTAGACAATACCAGGAAGCAAGCCAGGCTTGGACTGGACCTCAGCTACTTCAGCGATGCCTTCCCCCCACTCCGGCGACTTGAGGGCAGCAACGGAGTTTGTTTGTGAGTGCCATTTAGCACTGTGCCGGACACGTCGTAGGTCGTTTTCCTAATTTTTAAACATTATTTTCCTATTCTACAATCAAAGCTCATCTCAGAAAAAGCTAAGATTAGCTCATTCACACTGGGGTATATGTGAACCATTACAGCTGAAAGCATTATTTGCACTAGGGCATTTTAAAAAAGGAGATGGAGAAATGAAGTTATACTATATATATAAAGTAGTTGTGATTTTGAGTGGGAATAATGAGGGTGTGTGTGTGTGTGTGTATGTGCAGAAGTGCCCTATATGAGCACCTGCCCCTCTCCCCGCAAAAAACAGCACCCACCTGGTCAGCATGCCAGAGATGCATGTCTTTCATTTCACTTGTTAAGTTCTCCTGTTTTCCTTTGCAGGCTTCTACGTGCAGGAGATGGCTGATGCAAGTACGGCCAAGCTGTACTCGGGGCTGCTGGGGGTGGGGGATGAGATCCTGGAGGTGAACGGGGCCAAGGTTGCAGGGCTGGGATTGGCTCACATTGAGGAGCTCCTGACCCATGCAGAGAGCTTGTCACTCCGTGTGCTGAGGCAGAGGCCCATCCCACGGTGACTCAGAGGTGCTCTGGGCCTCAATGTCACTCCCTCAGAAGCCATGAAGCGCCCTGGGGGGAGGGGTGACTGGGAATGGGCTGCACAAAGCTACTTGGGAGAGGGAAGGAGCCTACTTGGATATTTTGTTTAAGGATGTAATTTGTGCAAAGCAAGGAGAAGAAAATATGGGTGCCCGGGCCTGGGGTGGTGTCAACAGCTTCCTGCACCTTTGTTGGCAGGGGGAGGAAAGAGATTCATTGAATCACTCAGTTGGTCCCCGAGCATCGCCTCACCTTCAGGTCCCATCGCACTCCTTGTCAAGGGCTCCTGCAGCTTCCAACACTCCCGAACCAAAGACAGTGCTGGGCCATATCGGCCTGGAGCCTGCCTCTTCCCATCTCGTTTCCCCCAGCTCCCATTCCACACCTTTGCTCTTTTTCCAGAAATGGGAAAAGTGTCCTCGAGTAACAGCCTTGTAGCCATTGACCCCAAATCAAAAATTGGAACATGTGGTCTGGTGTGAAAACATCTAGGAGATGTGATCTGGTAGCCAGAATATTACGAATTTTTTGTAATATATAAGATTGAGGAGGGAAAAAAGGAACCTGAGACCAGTTTCAGGGAGGTGCAGCTGTGGCCAGTGAGACTGGCCAGATCAGCCCCGTCCCCACTGCCCTTCCTCTGCCCCTGCCTCTGCCCAGAGCGAGGCTGGAGCTACCGGAGCCGCCTGGCCAGGAAGGCCTCTGCCTTCCTTCTGTTGAGCTTGGACACTGGGCCGCAGCTAGGGCCACGCAATCCTCACCCACAAGTTCTCTGTCCAGACTCCCTGACAGCAGCTCTGGATAGGCCAACCCACAGGGAGAAGGCCGGGCACAGGCCCGGAGGATGGGCTGTCCCACCTGGTCACTCCCCTCCTCTAGGACTGAACACTGCCCAAAGGGTTAGTGGGTGGCCATGTGTCCGTTTTAATTTATTAAAAGCCAAAGCTGAAGCTTCTATCCTGAGTTGCTATCTTTTGGGCTGCACACTCGCTCACTCGCTTGACCTTTAATAGCCGTCAGCAGAGGTTTGGGTGGGGGAGGAGAAGGGAGGACAAGGGCACCGCGGTGGCCTGTGTTGGGCATGCCAGAGGGGAAGGCTGGGGAGGCACCTGGGGTTGGGGTGACAGTGTAGATGCAGAAACCTCCAGGGTCAGTCCTAGGGCTGGGAGAGGAGCCCTGGCAAAGTACGTTTATGAGCAGGAGATGGAATGAAGCTAAGGGGCCTTGAATCGTTGCAACTGGACGGTGAAGTGGGCAGCTCATGGCTGTTTTAGAACTTGGCCGGGTGCAGACTGTGGTTAAAAACAAACACAGTTTAAATGAGTGTTAAGCAGCTTTCAGGGAGCAAAGTCACTGAAGGAGGCATGGGGCCTAAGAGGAAGGTGATGAGGAGAGGGGGCAGCAATCCTGTGGAGTGTGAGTACTCTCCCATTCTAGGGTATTATGCACAGGAGCCAGTTAAAACCCCTCCTTACTGCCCCTGGAGGTTAGGGGGTGAGGGGAGCTCCCAGAGCCTCACAGCAGGGCAGGATGGGGAGGCTGGGCCGACCTGTAGTGGGAGATGAAGGAAGAATGGGAAGGCTCTAGCAGGTGAGCAGAGGGGCCAAAGGAACAAGTACTTGGGTCTTTGGGGTGTGAAGAGGGACTGGGACACCTCACAGACCAACCTGGGGCCCCCAAAATATAGAAATGGCCCCACATAACAGGAACCACAGGCATGGGGAAACCCTGGTGGCTCCTATACGCCAATTCCTGGCCTTTACATGTTGACCCAAGAAGTATACCTTCCAAAAAGGACTCCTCGTGGTTAACAGGGCCCAAATTCATAATCGAGCCTAGCAGCCATTGTTTACCGAGGCCTGTCTTGCACACTGCATGTCAGAGAAAAGCCACAGACTGAGGTGCCAAGCTTCCTGCATTGTGGTCTTGAAGTCTGAGCCAAATCTGGAATCTTATTTCAACCAATGGACTGAGACTTGCCCTGTCCAATCAGAACTGCACAGTTGTAGCCTCATTTGTATATTTGTTGACCAATCAGAGTAGCTCCATAATAACCAATCAGAACACATAATTCTGACCAATCAGGACAGTGCTATCTGGACCAATCAGGCTGTGCAAACTTGGATTCCTCATTTGCATAGAAATGAGGGGAAGGGGGAAGAAGTAAAGAGGAGGAAGAACGGGAGAGGCACTTGGGACTGTGTGAAGTCGCCGTGCCTTGCTCTAATTCCAAGAAGGTACAGCGTGCCAGGGCCATGTCTTGTCTAGGTGGGAGGGGACTTTGGCTCCTCCAGGTGTCCTTCTGACCTTTCCCATCTCTGCTGCCTAGGGTCCGGCCTGGTATCGCCCACAGGACCACCAGAACCCTCACTTAGAACTAGGAGCCGGGCCATGTGCAGGCAGGAGCTCAGGTTGATGAGAAAGACGGGCTCTACCTCAAGCTGCCAGAATCTAGGAAAGACGCTCACCCTTACCACAAGGCCAGGTGTGTGCAGCAAGGGAAGCTGGCACCTGGGGACGTGGGGTAAGGAGCCTGGGAGTGGTCAGGGATCACCTGGGGAGGGAGGCCTGTGAGGAGGGGCGCCACACAAGGTTCTGTAAAATGAGTGGGAACTAACAAGAAGGGGAAGGGAAAGGACGGTGTGGCACGGAAAATGAATGACGTGCACAGGTGTGGCTGTTTCCTGTGCCTCACCTATTCCTCACCCCCACCACGAGGCAGGTCAGTGGTACTCTGTGTGTCCAGGCCTCGATTCACACCAGGCACCGAAAGTGGCACCAACTTTGGCCTCATACAAGTCAGTATCCTTAGAGCAAGTTCAGACGCCACTAGCAAGAAGCCTGGCGGTCCTGGGCAGGCTGCGCCCCCACTGACGCCTGTTTTAACTTGCTTTTGGGGGGCATCTTCCCTAGGCAGGCAAGGCCTGCACCAGGTAGGTGCCCTGGGAGGTGGGGACCAAGGTCTCTTGCGGGCCAGTGACTGCAACGTCCTGCACCCACCTGCCCTCGCTCCAGTCGCCCGCACCCTCCACAAGAGGCTACTTTGGCTCCCATGCAGGTGTCCCTGCAAAGTCAGGACAGTGGCCGCCATGGTCCTGCGGGTCCAGGCTCTGCGCCATCCCAGGCACTTGGCCACCCGGGAGGTGTGGGCCTCGCTGGCCCTGCAGCCTTGGTCCTGGCACCCTGCCACCCCCCGCTGCTGCCTCCAGTCCCGGTCCCTCGTCTCCGCGGGGGCAGAGATGGGCCCCCGGGTGCAGCACAGACAGAGCCCGAAGTCCGGTGCACCCCATCCCCTACATGCAAGACACTTTGCTGGGAGGAAGGCACCCTGATTTTGCCCTCGAGGATCTCACGGGGAGGGAGGGCCAGAGGGCCAGAGTCTGGGAATTTCACGGTGACCAAGTCCCACTAAAAGCTGGTGGTGACGTGGGGTGCGTGAATGGGGACCTGGTGCGGGCGGCGTCCCGAGGTCTCACGCATGAGGGAGGAACTGCAGGTGCGGCTGGAATTTGGGGAATCAAGGTTAACCTGGGAATTCAGGCTGTGCAGTCACTGCGCTGTGCCCTCCGAAAATATTCCAGAGCTCTGCTGCGGACATTACGAACACAGTGCTGAAACCTTAGGGCAGTTTTGCGAGGAGGGACCCCTTATCTCCAGGCTACAACTAGGAGCTGGAAACTCAGAGGTTAAATTAGCAAATAATTAGCAGAGGCAGGACTTGAACCCGGTCCTCTAACTCCCAGCCTGCGTCCATCCGCCCTCCTGGAATTCGCCGCACGGGGAGCCCCGCCTAGGATCCTCCTGGGCCGCACAGGCTGTGGGGAGAGCAGTGGCCACAACCGGCTCCGATGGCCCCGGCCTCGCCGCTCTGCCGCCGCCGCTGGCCTTTGAGAAGGTCGGTGTAGGGGCTTGGCTTCGGTTTTCCTGCAGGGAAATGGGGTTGGCGTCCCCACCTGTCCACCGCTGAGGGAAGGAAGGACGCACAGTTCACTCGGGAGGCACAAAAGCTGTCTTGTGGGTGGACACCAGCATTTTAGAAAAAAGTGCCTCCCACAGGCAAGAGTAGGTTTTGTTTGGGAAGCGGTTCTTCCAGGTGTGCGCCCTGAGTTGTAATTTAGTGTTGTTACTGGCCCTGCTCTGGAGGTGGGGGGTGGGATGGCATCGAGGCAGTCTGGTCCCTCCGTCTGGCCCTGTGCTTCCTGGAGTTGTGAGCTGCCTGCTGGCGGCTACCAAAGCCTTCCGGGCTGGGTGCTGGTCGAGGGTGCTTGGCCCTGGGAAGGAGGCATCCTTGATCATACATCCCTGCGGCCCAAAGGAGGCCCCTATCCCAGGGCTGGAGTGCAATATGACTGGACTTCCTGGTTCTCCAAACTGGCCTCCGGGCAGCGGGATCCCCGATTCCCATGTGAGTATCTATTTATTGGCAGGAGTTTGGGCTATTGGTTCCCCGATCCAGGCATGCACCAACTCCACATATTCTTTCACCCACCCCATTGCTTCGCTTATCTGTGTCTTTGCTGGAATGCCCTTCCCCTTGTCCACCCATGGACTTCCTGGCAGCCTTCAAAGGTGCTGCCCTGAGAAGCATTCCCTGACACCGGGGTGCTGGCCTTGGCCCCTCCTCCGAGCTCCCATAGAATCTGGTACCAAGGCTCTTTGTTGTGGCTCTTTTAACATAGACTTGCTTGTTTATCCTGCCAAACTTACCTGGCAACAACTGGACATCCCTGGTCCATCTGCACAACCCATTTCCTACCCAAATCCCCAGGCTGGTTCTGGAGCTATTTGCTGGACACCCTCCCCTCCCCCTTCCCATCCTCTGTGAAGTTTCCATCTTTCCCTGTAGAGCCAGAGCACCTGCTTAGAAATGGCGGCAGCCTTCCTTGGCAAGAAGCTGTGCCCAGCTCTCTCAGGCTGCAGGTCTGACCCGGTCGGAGTGCTGGGCCCCCAGGAGGGGCTGCTGGGATTGGCTCTGACATCTGCCTGTGGAGCCAGGCCTTCAGAGCTGCCCTGCCAGGCCTGGAGAGTCTCCCGGGCTCTCCTGTGGATGCCGGGCCGCCCGCCGGGCCTGCCTTTGTCTTGCCCTGCTGCATCTGGGCTTAGGCAGGGGCTCCTCACAGTGTGGAGCTGCCCTTAGGGGTCTGGCTGGGTGCCGGGCACTGGGGAGAGACCTGCCCTGCCCTTGGGAAGCCCATATCCCCAGGGGGAGTCAGCTACAGCTGTGGAAAGACAGACCAGTGTGCCAAGGGCTACAATGGAAGCGCCAGGCAGGAGCCCCGCTTCACCTGGTGAGCAGAAACTCTTCCCAGAAAAGCCAGCCCCAGGCTCACCAGCCTCCATCAGCTCTGGTGTTATCTCAGGAACAAGGAATGTTGGCAGGCACGGGGGCTCACAGCAGCATCCAGATGCCACAACTTTGATTCTCATCCTGGGCTCCTCAGACTGAGTCTCCAGGTTTTTCTGAGTTTATACAATGAGATCGACTCACTCACTTCTTGCACACATTTCCAGCCACATAAAAGCTCCAAAATACAGGGGTGGGCAAAGGTAGGTTTACAGTTGCATTGTAACGTTCTTTTTAGTTAATAAAGCTATTGTAATACTCATATCCTGCATGTCTTTTTCCACATGAACTGTAAACCTACTTTCGCCTAACCCTGTATTTTATCAAGGCTGACCTGCCTTGACCAGGTTTCTTAAACTCCACTGTGGGCTTATAGGGTTTGAGATGTGGTCAAATCCATGGCAAGGATGCCATGCTTTATCTTGGGCACGGCTAGGAGTTCAGTGCTTTAATCCACCGCGGACTTGTACCACAGCTCTTTTGCTCTCTCTTCCTCTCCTTAGCCATCCTCCACCATTTCTCTGGTTAGAAAGACAGCTTAGTGAAACATCTGCTTGCCACCACTGAAATGGCGTCTTCTTTCTTTTAAGGGAGGCTATGTAATGGGTTCC